GAGTTTTCAAATCGGCATTTCACAAGACAGTTGGAAACGGTACCTTGAATTTTGATGAGCTGTCTGCGATCGTATTGGATGTTGAGACGTCTATCAACGGTCGTCCGTTAGATCATGTGGAAGATGATATCCAACTCCCTCTACTCACACCCAATTCCTTTATGTTCCTTCAACCTACTCAGCCGTTAGAATTGGAGCCACATCACCTTCAGGAAACTACGTTACGAAAGCGAGCTAGATATCTGTCTAAAGTGAAGGATTCGTTATGGGCAAGATGGAGTAAAGAGTACGTACGAAGTCTGCGCGAGAAACATCGATTACTACAGCAAGATAAGAAGACCGAATCACCAGAGGTTGGCGATATTGTCATAATTAGAGGTGATGAAAAGAATCGGAATCTATGGAAACTCGGGAAAGTAGTTCGTCTTTAACTCGGTCGTGATGGAGAAATTCGTGGCGCTAAGGTTCAAACGGGAAATGGAATTTTGGAGAGAACCCCTCAACACCTCCACCCTTTAGAGTTGAAATGTGATTTCAATGACTCGAAGCAACCGTTGAATCCTGATGTTGAAGAGTTTCGTCCACGACGGGGAGCAGCAATAGCAGCTGAAGAACAAATAAGAGCTATAAACATGTACAATGACGATTAGTTACTAGCAATACTTCAGTCTCCTTTAGGACATATAGCAGTTATTACAGCTATATGGGGGGAGGGTGTCGGAGACTGGGTACGAACAGTGTTAATTTTGTTGAGTTAAGCACATTTTTGTGAGACTTGTGAGAGCGAAGTGAGATTTTATAGCGAAGCGATTTCTATTATTAAATATAACTTTTAAACTTTAATTTGTGAGTGATTTTAAGCGAAGTGACTTATTATTTGTTGGGAATCAGTTTTGGAGGCAAACTTTCCTAATAGAATGATATTAAGACACGGTTTGCTTAAAAGATTATTTTACACAGTAAAGTCAAAGATTATTTTAGCTTAATGAAAAGTGGCACTCCTGAACACTGTAGTGCTTACAAAAATGTTGCTTTGACCCTTCTTGTTTACTGTTGCTACTCGTAAGTCGATTTGTTATAGGTTGTATTACAGCCTGAGCTAGTGGATGCTCCAAATACCATAAAACTAAAAATATAGTAGAAATAGCGAAATAGTTCGCTACATTTTTTAAGCAGTAGCCGTAGTCAGTAGCGAACTACCTTTGTTAAATAGTAGCAGTATAGTTGTAGCTGACTACATATTTTTGAAGTAGCTGTAGTTATAGCGAACTACAAAAATTTTGTAGTCAACCCACCCTTGGAAACAAGAAGAGCAAGTAATGGAACTTTCCTAAATGTGGGAAAGTGCAGAACTGTCAACTACCAGAACAGTTTTTATATAAGAGCCGCGAGCGTGTGGAACACTCTTCCTCGTTATATTAGAGACACAACTAAGTCTATAGGATCATTCAAAACATTACTACGCAAGCACTATAAAGATCTAACGGACATTGTTTTCAACCCCGATGACCCGAGAACTCTTAGGGGCGGACCATTAGAAATCCCGGGAGGGGGGGGGGGGGGGGGTATAAAATTTTTGCGGCACGAATTTTTTTTTCAGTCTCATGTCTCTGCAGGATTTTTTTTTAATGCATTTAACCTCTGCACGAATTTTTTTTCAAGACTATTTGTACTTTGCTGTTTGCTTGCACGAATTTTTTTTCTCTGACGTAATGGCTGCACGAATTTTTTTTCCAGGCATTTTTCTTTGCACGAATTTTTTTTTGGGAATTTACACCCCCCCTCCCGGGATTTCTAATGGTCCGCCCCTTAAGTCAGTTTGTGTGAAATGTCACACAAGGCGTCCTTTATGGAACTTATTATCTAGACCATGTTGTTAGGTCAATCGAACCTTATATAGTGATCCCTTATTGCGTGTGCCAAATGCAATTACCATAATGCTATAATGAATATTACTTTATCTTATGGTTCAACTCCATGTACGAGACTACGAGTATAGCATTTTGGCGATTGTGGACGGTATGCGTGATAGGGAAAGCAGTCATTAAATTTTAATATAGCTTGCTCGATACATAAACAATCTTAACAGCTTCAAATTACTCTAGTACTTCATTCACGAGTTCAGAATTTCAAATAGGATCTCATGTTGTTGTCTTATCGTTGGTTGTTTCAATTTGTGGCCTGTTAATTTTTTTATCTGTTTATTAGTATGTCTAATATCTGTCACGCCATAATGTAAATTATTGTTATGTTTATGTATGTTGTGGAACCCCATTATTGGAGATTTTATCTCTGTGTGGTCATTCCAGCCATTGTGTGTAATTTATAGTTAGTTTATATCTTTAATAATGGCAAATTTGTAAAAAAATAAATAAATAAACAAATAATTTGAAAGTCACGCGCAATCTTCGCGAAAACTTCTCGTGGACACATGACAGGGGGGTGAATATTTTCACGAAACTTTTGTTCGCCACCACAGCAACCTAACTAAATACTGTATATTGCATTTATTATATTTGAGGTATTTTTGTGATTTATGACAAAACTATGCAAACATTTATTGTTTTTATCATAAATCATAAAAATACAATAAATACAATATATTTCGTTAGGTTGCTGTGGTGGCGAACAAACGTTTCGTGAAAATATTCACCACCTGTCATGCGTCCACGAGAGGTTTTCGCGAAGATTGCGAGACTTTCAAATGATTTGTTTTTTTATTTTGAACCTAAATGGTTTACGGGAGGTTTTTCCTTCCATGTGCAACTAATGTTTTCAATTTTTCGATTGGGACTATTCTACAATGAAGTACTCTTGGATACTGTAATCTAAATACATATGAAAACGAAGAAGTGGCATTTATCGGGCATACATACATACATACATACTTTATTGTGTTCCCTAAATAGGGATTTTCGACACTGATTTACAAAAAATAAATGTTGTTCTATTTACAAGTTTTAAAATCTAGAATTTAAATTAAGGTAAAAAGGTAAGACATTTGTATAAAGTTTAACAAGGTAAAATTATCTACTTATATATTTGTTCTAGCATGTTTCGCTTCAGTTCGTTTTTGAAAGTTTTTAGGGAGTCTAACTTTTTGTACTTTATGTCCAAATCATTCCAGAGTGTAACGCCTCTATAATGAAAGGACCTTTGACCTGCAGAAGTTTTGTACAATGGTATTTGCAGTGAGTCATGGCTACGTGTATCTCGTTGATGAATGTCAGAACGTTTTGTGAATAAATCGCTCAAATAATGTGGAGCAAGTTCATTGACACATTTGTACATCATAATAGCCTCTCTTAGTAGTAATTGTTCCTTTACTGGGAGCCAGTTAAGTTCGCGTAAGCCCGGCGAAATATGGTCGAACTTTCCAATATTTGTTATTATCCTGCATGCAAAATTTTGTACCAACTGTAGTTTCTTAATGTTGTTAGACGAAGTGTTTGACCAAACCGTTGAGCAATAGAACATTTTGTTCATTACAAGTGCCGAGACGATGAGAGTTAAAGCTTCTTTATCGAAACATTTTTTGACTCGGTTTATTTGGCACAGGGAATTCATACATGAGGAAACCAGGTTGGTGATGTGCTGGTCATATGTCAAATAAGAGTCGATTGTCATTCCTAGATCTTTGGCAAAGGAGACGGGGGTAATAGTCTCGTTGAGGAAGTTTATGGTCATATCTACGGGAAGTTGTTGTAGGTTTTGCCGTGTGCCAATCAGCATGTATTTGGTCTTTCCCGGGTTAATAAGCAATTCATTTTCGGAACAACTGTTTGCAATCAAATACAAGTCTTCCTCAAGTTGTTGCTTTAAACAGTCCACGTTAGCCACAGTGAAAGATAGTAATATCTTGGAGTCGTCCACGTACGATTCAAGTTTACTATGGTGGACTGATGAGGGCAAATCGTTAATATAAATACTAAAAAGTAAAGGTGATAAAATTGCACCCTGTGGTACACCATAAGAAACAGGGAGAGGAGTAGACACAGTTGATCCAATTCTGACTGATTGAGTTCTTCCGGTCAAGTAACTCTCAAACCATTTTACAACGCTTGGAGAAGCCCCGACGTTGCTAAGTTTTGTAAGGAGAAAAGTATGATTTACACTGTCGAAAGCTTTAGATAGATCTATTAGAATCAGTGCAGTAACCAATTCCCCATCCATGGCCTTTAGGATAGTATCTCCGGTCAAAAGATTCAATGTTTCGCATGAGTGATGTTTCTTGTTCCCGCTCTGGTGGGTTGACAATTTTTTGTTCTTCATTAGATAAGAACCAAATTGATTCAAGGCGACTTTTTCACAAATTTTCGAAAGAAAGGTAAGTAGAGAAAGTGGGCGGTTATTTGATGCTTCCTCGTGGTTTCCATCCTTTAACAAAGGGATAACTTCTGCCTCTTTCCATGCTATAGGGAACGAAGATGACGACAGTTTACTAAAAGTCAGAACGACATTCTCCTCAGTATGGATCGTCAGGAGGTTACGCTTCTTGTGCTTATCGACCTAAGTGCCGCATTTGATACTATCGACCATGTTATCTTACTGGAGACACTTGAAAAAGACTTTGGCGTAACTGGAAATGCCCTCAAATGGCTAACATCTTATTTATCCGAGAGAAAACAAACAATTTTAATTAAAGACCATGAATCGGAAGTTTTCAATCTTCAATCGGGAGTTCCGCAGGGTAGCTGCCTTGGCCCTGTCCTCTTCATACTCTATGTGGCTGGGTTATTTAAGGTTATTGACAAACATCTTCCCAATGCACATACGTATGCAGATGACACCCAGATTTATCATTCGTTTCGGCCGGATACATCTTTATCGCAAGATGCTGCACAAAAGAATATTGAAAACTGTGTTGCTGACATTCGTGCCTGGATGCTTTCTAACCGTCTCTTGATAAATGATTCCAAGACTGAATTTATTATCATCGGTTCAAAGCAGCAAATGTCAAAGATTAACATCAATGAAATTACAGTTGGTGAATCTACGATCGAGCCTGTGGAGGTGGTGCAAAGCCTCGGAATGTTGTTTGACTCACATATGTCGATGGATATTCACATTGGAAAAGTGTGTAGTAAGGCGTTTCGCAGCCTCTATAATATCCGGCAGATAAGGAAATTCCTTTCAGAAGATACAACAAAGATTTTGGTTCATGCTTTTGTTACTTCACACCTGGACTACTGTAACTCATTGTTTTATGGTCTCCCACAGTCTCAATATGATAGGTTACAGAGAGTTCTCAATGCTGCAGCACATGTGGTCTGTCTAATCCCCAAATTCGATCATATTACTCCCGTTTTGATTGGCCTTCATTGGCTTCCTGTACGGTATCGGGTGATTTTCAAGATTTTGTTGCTGGTGTACAAGGCTCTTCATGCTAATGCACCGCCTTATATCTCAGACCTTCTGACACCTAAGCATATTGGTTGCTACAGTCTGCGCTCGACTGAGCAAAACTTGCTAATAGTTCCTAAGACAATGAGGAAAACGTTTGGCGACAGAGCTTTTGCCAAGGCTGGTCCATTTTTGTGGAATGAACTTCCCGCTGACATTCGTGAAGCGTCAACAGTGGAAACTTTTAAAAGCAGACTTAAGACCTTTCTTTTTAAAAAGGCATTTTATCTTTAAATATAATAGTAAATTTGAACTTCCCGCTGACATTCGTGAGGCGTCAACAGTGGAAACTTTTAAAAACAGACTTAAGACCTTCCTTTTTTAAAAAGGCACTTTATCTTTAAATATAATAGTAAATTTTAAACATGTATATATAGATATCATCTCATACTTTATAACATTTTATTTAAATTTGTAATGATAGCGCTTTAGAATATTTATAGTTTTTAGCGCTTTATAAATTAATAAATTATTATTTATTATTATTATTATTAATTATTATTATTATTACTATTTTTTTATTATTATACAATTTATTTAAACACAGTAAAATCTACAGTAGTTACAAGAAAGACAATAAACTAATACTAATACTAATACTGGTTTACAAGATTGCCGTGTGGGGGCTCGTTTATTCGTCGAAATACTTATTAACAGCTTTTTAAAATTTAGCCTGTGTTTGAAGCTTTCTTATTTCTTGAGGAAGGCTATTCCACAATAGTGCACCACTATATCAAAAGCTTCGTTTTAAGTAATTTGTTCGTGGCTTAGGCAAATTCAGCCTCATTTAAGAATTTCTTAAGTTATACCCAGTTCCGCGAATGGAAAAGAATTCTTGTAAATAACTGGGAACATGCAGATAGATATAGATAGTGTATTTAAAATTCACCTTGCAGCTGGACAGCTGAATTGCGTGATTTACAAGAGTATATAAAACATTATTTAAAAGATAGAATATGGGTTAATTAGGCATATTTACAAATGGTCATTAAAACGCTTAGTACTAAAAATTACATTAACTTAAGTTACTAGACATAGGAATAAAAGATTTTTTAAATCTTTCTGTATTAGTTTCGAATCGTTCAAAGAGTCTATTGTTCCTAAGTTGGTAAACCGACTCATGTTTGGGAGGCAGTAAATTATGCAGTTTGTGTGTTGGATTGTTAGTAATATTTGTGAAAAGTTTGTTACACATTTCTTCGCGTCTTTGGAACAAAGTTTGAAGATTAAAATATTCTAAAGTTTCGCTATATGAGTTCACGGGTAAGATGATCTTCAGTGCTCGCTTTTGTACCGTCTCAAGATCTTCTAACAGGAAGGATGGGATTGAGTAATGGAAACCGGGGCACAATATTCCAAAATGGGCCTGATAACTGTACAGTAGAAGTTTACAATGTCTTTCGGACTGACTTTTGCGCGCTTAAGTAAGATAATGAAGTAAAGACGTTTGTTAGCTTTTTTGATGACTTCGTTAATGTGGTTAGTCAATTTAAGGTTACTAGAGATGGTGAGGCCTGGAATTTTAGCGTTTTGGACAACCGGCAATTTCTTCCCGTAGACTGTAAGAGGGTCGAAGTTCTGTTTCGTGGCTTTAAAGTCGATTTGGAGTTCTTTACATTTATCTGCATTAAGAAGTAATCTGTTGGAATTCGACCAGTTTTCTACTGTGGTAACTGCGTCTTGGGCTTTGCTGGTATCGCCTTTTTTAACAACCTCAGAAACGGTTGTATCATCGACATACTTCCAAGTAGATACTTCAGTGATTTTAAGATCATTAATCATCCATAGAAAAAGCCATGGCCCAAGTTTCGTACCTTGAGGGACACCAGCCGGGACAGCACCCCACTCTGAAACGCAGTCGGTTGCGAGTTTAACTCTTTGTTTTCTGTCCAATAGAAAATCAATAGTCCAGCGTACGACTGCCTTCGGAATTGGTAATCTGGAGATCTTATCAGCGAGTATACAATGGTCAATAAGGTCAAACGCTTTTTTATAGTCGAACAGGGCTACTCTGACTGCTGCGCCAGTGCCATCAGTTGACTGGGACCAATTGTGATTGGGACCAATTGTTGATTGGGACTTCTGCATATTCGTTTAACACCCAATTCGGAACACCGTCTGGGCCTGAAGCTTTTCTGGGGTTAAGGGACGCAAGCCCTTTATACACATCAAATTCGTCGAGATGGAGGACAGAGTCATTTGGATCCTAGGAGGGAAGAGAAGTAAGAGGTTGGTAAGTTTTCATGGGGTCTAGGAAGGCTGTGTTTATGAGATTTGCAATCTCATTTGGAGACTTCCGGTCAAAATCGTCAATGTGAATTTGGTTATATAGATCTTCCGCTCCCGTTGAGGGGGTCATACCAGCAATCTGTTTTACTTCTTTCCACCAACGACTTGGTTTTGACTTTTTTAGATGTTCAACCTTCAACGAATAAAAACATTTTTTTCTTTCGCGATTAACTCGGTTGCGGTAATACCTAAACAGTTCGTTATTGCCGTTAGAAAATGCTGCTTGGCGTTTTTTTATAAGAATCTTAAAATTAGCTGTGATCCAAGGGGGATCATTCACATGTAGTGTTATTCTTCTTTTGGGCATTAGGATATTGATACCCAGGTTAATAAGATCAGCGAAAAGCTCAAGTTTTTCTTCACAGGTTTCGAGATGATTTAGGATGGACCAATTACAGGAGGTTAGGTGTCTTCCGAGTTCGCTCTTTTTACTGGGACGCATGTCTCTACTTATGACGACCTTTCGACTACCTGATTTATCGCATCTGTTTTTAGGGTTTAGAATGACCACATTGTGATCTGAGAGGCCAAAGGGAGGATGTTTCTCTACAGAGTCTTTAGCGTAAAACGAGTATAAATTGGTAATAATTAGATCAAGAGTCTTGTCAGCTCTGGTAGAAACATTGACCATTTGTTTGCATTGAAACTGGTTCAGTAGACGGTTAACTTTTAATTGGTTGAAGTCTCCTGATAACATTAGACCACAGCCTGGATAATCGCTTTCAATGGTGGTAAGTGATATTGAAAGGTAACTGAGCATTTCATGATTATCGGCGCGTGGTGGGTGGTATATTACGCCAATTACAAGACAGGTAAATCCATGGGTTAATCTTTTGGGAGTAAGACGTACCCAGAGAACCTCTAACAAGGGATGCTGTAGATGGTCTAAACATTCAAAGGATATTGAGTTCTTAATATATAAACCCACACCTCCATGACAGCCCACTGAACGGTTTTTGAAGATGAAATTATATCCATCTATATAAAGACACGATTCGTCAATTAATCCATGGAGCCAAGTTTCGGTGATACAAGCAGCGTCTGGATTGTGAATTTTCATAAAACAAGAGACTTCGTCAATTTTAGGGGTGAGTGACATGGTGTTTGTGAGTAATATTTTGGGCACGAACGTCTTTATGTTCTCATTTTGGGTTTTAAATGAGACAGTAATTAAATTACCGTGTGTTCTTGAGGGTATTTTATAAGATTTGTTAAAACTTCTGTTTGTGATTCTAACCGTTATGTTTTGTAGGTTTTCCTGATAAGGGGGAGATGTCATGAGTTTATGATCGTGGATGTTCAGTATGTCAGCGGGGGCCAAGTAAGAGCATTCATCAGTGGGGGGGGGGGGGAGGAGGAATCATAGGCCAGGGGGAATGGGACAAAAAAGGTGACCTTGTGTTGTGTCTCGTATCTGGTTGTTTTCTCGTATCAAGTGTTTTAAACATAAGACCATGCAAGTTTAAGTTTTTGTCGTCTTAATGACAAGTTATCCCAACGCAGACTATCTAATAATACACTTGCGTCGGTATCATAACTTGATCTCATGATGACTCTCGTTGCTCGGTTTTGCAATTTTTGTAATTTCCCCAAGGCCATCCCATACCGTGCAGCAATAGTCGAAATGAGGCTGAATGAGCGCTTGGTATATTTGTATGGACGCGTCTATAGTCATAAACGATCTAACACGCTTTAGTGCACCAATAGCAGATGCAACTTTCTTACATAGTTTATCAATATGATCATGCCAAGTAAGATGTTTATCAATATAAACTCCCAAGGATTTCACAGATTCAACCCTAGTTATTTCGTTTTCGTTGATTCTAATATTTATTTCGCTATCTATGGACCTTAATTTTTGCTGAGATCCTATTACCATAAACTCCGTTTTAACAATATTTAGACTTAATCTATTAGTAATAAGCCAGCTATTAAGCTTTTTAACTCAGAGTTTATTACATTTTGGAGCTCACCTGTTGTGTTTGCTGAATAACTTATACTCGTGTCATCAGCAAACATTCTAGGTATAGCATGATTCAAGTAATTCGGAAGGTCATTTATATAGATCAGAAAAAGTATGGTCCCCAGGTTACTACCTTGGGGAACACCACAAGTCACCGGGCAGAATTTGACAATTGGTCGTTAACACGGCATTTTTGAGTTCGGTTGGTAAGATAAGATTCAACCCAGGTTAAACTCATTTGATCAATACCATAGTTTCTTAGCTTTTGTAACATAATTTGGTGATCGACAGTGTCAATTAAAAGCTTTTTTTAAATAAATAAAAACTACTCCATTGATTAAACCATTGTCAATATTCATGGACCAGTCACTTGTGGCTTCAAGCATTGCAGTTACCGTACTGTGTAGCGATCTAAAGCCAGATTGGCAGGAAGTTAAAATCTCATTTGTGTTTAGGTATTCATATAATTGGTCAGAAATAATTTTCTCAAAAATTTTTGCAATGGCAGGAATAATGGAAATTGGTCGGTAATTGCTTGGGTTACTCTTAGGACCACTTTTGAATATTGGTGTCACCCTGCTTGCCTTCCATTCGTTTGGGAATATTCCTGTACGTAATGATGCAGAAAATATTCCCGTCAGTGAAGGTGCAACCACCTATGCAGCCATTTTCAATAATTTGTTGGGTATATTATCCAACCCAACAGGAGATTGCAATGAAAATGTCTTATCCGTTGCTTTAAGATAAAAGCTCGGATCATGGTCAAGGGTTGGTATAGATGCAGATGTTTTTATAACCAAAAACCACCAAAATTACATTAAATTTTCCCAATTAAATCATCGAACTGCACTAAATTCATCTTCCCACTGCATACAGCTGGTTATGCGACAGGTAAGTAAACGAGGAAAAAACAATTACGGCAAAGAGAAAAATTGAAATCCATCAAGTGGATATATATTCAAATGGATATCGACACTCCCAAGTTGTCCAGTTGTTTCTACGCCATATAATAAGTCACCCCCGTTAGACCAGCATGTCAAATAAAGTAGGATACAAACTTTCGTAAATTGATTTGGAAAGATATTTGGAAGCGTATTCAATCGAGGTTGGAAGGTGCAGTATTACGTGACTTTTACTGGCGAACAGTACATCTAGCTCGTGCTCAATGTAAACACAGTCCTCAACAAACAAAATTCGCGTATCCCTGCAACTGGCTCTCGGTGTAACAATAGATAGATCGGAAAGCTTGACCCATGCCTGTGCCCATGCTATTATTCATTGTCCATTTGTCGAATAATCATGGCATTTTGTTTTACGAATTTGTAACATAGAGAAACTGGTTCAAGGATTAAGTAACTTAACTAACTATAGGTACATTATCTCAGTTGCGAAGTTTGTAGCATGGAAAGAACGGAACTCATATCAATTTAACAGTGATAAGAAGATTTCGTGTCTTCAATATTTTATTTTATTTTATTTTATTTTACGTGTCGAACAGGTCGAGAATGGAACTTGTCGATTTAGACCGGGACATGTTTCGAGTCACTAGGCCTGGTCTGCAAATAATGTTTTAGGCGAAGTAGTTGGACAAAAAACTTGCGTGTTTGTTGTAAATATTTTGATTGTATACATCGTGTTTCGCTGACGAGCTTTTAATAAAAATGGATAGTTACACCTAATGGTAGAGTTTGACGGGCTCTGAGGTACACGGCTGTTGTCTGTGCAGCGTTTTCTAGTCGAAACGGAGATATGGGGCTTGAGTTTTGTTCCAGACTCGGTATGTATAAGTCTTGAATTCTCATCTGAATTTATGAAGACTTTTAATATAATACCAGGTCTTGAATTGAAAATGTAAAACCCGGTACGGCTCTTATATTTGTATTTCGAAGTGTCTCAAGTCTCAACCAACTTTGATTGTGGAAGTAAAGGAACGGCTTGGTGTGGGGCATAAAAACTGGGACTTACATTTTCAGCCCAGCTTTTCAACCAGATCTTTGGTCGGAAATCAAAACGGATTGAGGACATGCAATAAAAACTGGATGTGGTAGGTTTATAAAAATGAATACAAATTATAATCACGACCCAACGTTTAGACACTCCATGCAGTCTATAGTGTCTTCATCAGGGGTAATTAATTTAAAGATAACCACCCATGATGAAGATACTAGACTGGAGTGTTGAAACGTTGGGTTGTGATTACAATTCGTCTGAGTGGGCTTTGCATTCATTTTTATTATGTGGACTATGGTGTTTTACTGGAAACTAAAATACTCGTAAAACTCATATGCCACTACCGCTTCTGGACCAGATGCGCGTTTTCTCCGTATTTCACGCTTGCGATTGACATACAGTACGAAGTTCGAAAATTTCTCGCCATTTTCTTTCATTGTTGTTGATTTGAAAATTCAAATGGTTTTTGGTTCGTACATAAAACAAAATTAACGTTGGAAATAAAACAGAAACATTTAGAAGACATCTTGAGAGAAGTAAAATTTGTTCTAGTTTTATGTTTGCACTATAATTTTAAAAAATATCGATTTTATACTGGTCTTTCGCAGCGTATTTACGTGTCGTCTGCGTGTATTTTTGTCACTCTGAATAAGTCCATATAATAAACAGAACATTAAACGGTTGCGAAAAGATATGAATTTATGTTCTCGTGTTGTATATTCGACGATTGGCGTACCCCCTCCCCCTCTCGTAAGTTGTAGAAGGGTACGCCTCTGGTCTTTTAGATGCATGTTTAAAACATCAAAAAGACGATAACGGATGCGTAGCTGTATTGATACGATAAATGTTTTGCGGGTTCATCCTATATCGCCATCAGTTCTCAAAAATTTGTTTGGGTCACGTTTTCAAAAAAGATCCTGTTACTTTTAACATGAACTGCACTAACGAAAACCAAGCTCACATCAGCTGCAAGATTGCATGCATAGATATTTATTACTCAGTGTAAAGAATGATTAACATACATGGAAAGACTAGTATATTTCGTAACAATCTAAAATTTTTCTAAAATATCTACCTATTTTAAAATAGATACATTAAAAATATCTACCATATAAATATACAATACAAAAAAGCATGCATGGAAAGATTAGTAAAATAAAATCATCAAGTCCTTATATTTAGTAACAGTCTAAAATTATTCTAAAATACCATCTATTTCAAATAGATACATTAAAAAGATCTACCATGCATATTAAACTAAAATATCTACCTGGTTAATCAACATACATGGTAAAAATTAGTGAAATAAAATCATCAAAATATCCATCTATTTTCGGAAAAATTGGATGCAATTATAGAAAATATACGGTCTTCACAATTCTTGTTCAAGGCGTCTCCTATAAAAAAATGTTTTAATCTTTTCTGTAAGTTTGCTTACTACACTTTGCTTCGGGGCTGTTTATACGAGTCCAGCTAACTGGAAAACCCACCCGAGAACGAGATTCGAATGCTCTTTGTTAAACGCATATAAAATTCCTCGTAAAATTCAATATAATGGAGAAACTAACCAACCCGGCTAGGTGAAATATATTTCACCTTTCTCTAGCTAGGAGGGATATGAGTCAAATGGGATGACATCTTCCATATGAAAGCTTTATCTCACCTGAACGGCGAGAAATATTTGGCCGATTTTGACCTATAAATGAACTTATTTATAAATCGCATTCGAGTACAAGTATCCTATAGAAGCGGTAAAAAATGAGTGAAAATTGACAAAAAAATTTTTTGCTGCCGGCTGTTGCAGGAGTAATAAAAATGTTGACTAAAAAACTGAAAACCTTTTCAAAAATATCATCTATTAAACTGAGCATGAAAGTTGAAATAATACTTCATAGAAAATATAATGTTAAAGTAAAAGATGCTGGGGTTAATTGAAGAAGGAAACATTTGTTTTGTTGTAGTTTCCATGGCCAAAACAAACAGCTATATAACAAGGCTACAAAAACGTCGACAACACCAAAATTGTAAGAAATATAAAACCGTTGTTGAAGGAATAGGATTACAACTCACTCAGATAATGTATAGCTTTTATTTTTTTAACTTGTAAGCTGCTTGCAGAATGTCTTCGAGCCAGAGGCAGAGTTCATATTTTTCTATGCGAATCAATAACATTAGACGTTTTCTTGTGATATTCGACCTCTTGTTATATTTCACATTAATGTAAAATTATAAAAATAAACTTTCGCTCCATAGCTTTCTTTTTACGGAATAACCCATACACTGACGTTAAAATCTCAGGAAAATACTGTTTTTCCCTTGTGGATAAACACCATCGCCACGTCGTATTTTCCACACAAAAACGAAAGAAAACCCGATCGTTTTTATAATATACTCCTACACAAAAAATCGTTATAAATTGAAATAAGGAACAAGAGACAAGCCGTTAAAGTCGAAACAATGGCGTTTGAATTTGGCTTATCATGCAAGCGGCTTTTGCTTGTTTTTGCCGAACAACAATTTGCCGACAAATCCGTTATTTTGCTGACTAGACGTTTTCTGGGGGGAGGGGGTCAAACTCTACACATACTCCTATAGCGACG